TGAAACACAACAAGGGCAAGTGTAGTCTTGCGTCTGGGAAAGAACAACTCCCAAGTACCAGTATAGGTTGAGGACTGAGCTGTTGGAGAACAGCGTAGGGGAAAGGGACCTGGGGGTTCTGGTGGACAGCAGGATGACCATGAGCCAGCAATGTGCCCTCGTGGCCACCTGGGGTGTATTAGAAGGGGTGTGGCTAGTAGATCGAGTAGATCCTCCCCTCTACTCTGCCCTGGTGAGGCCACATCTGAAATATTGTGTCTGGTTCTGGGCCCCTCAGTTCAAGAGGGTCAGGGAACTGCTTGAGAGAGTCCAGCGCAGAGCCACAAAGATGGTTAAGGGAGTGGAACATCTCCCTTATGAGGAAAGGCTGAAGGAGCTGGGTCTCTTTAGCTTGGAGAAGAAAAGATTGAGGGATGACCTCAGTAATGCTTATAAGTATGTAAAGGGTGAATGTCAGGAGGACGGAGCCAGGCTCTTCTCAGTGATGTCCAATGGCAGAGGGCAACAGATACAAGCTGAAACATAGGAGGGTTCCACAGAAACATTAGGAGAAACTTTTCGCTGTGAGGGTGACAGAGCACTGGAACAGGCTGCCCACGGAGGGTGTGGAGTCTCCTTCTCTGGAGATATTCAAAACTAGTCTGGACACATTCCTATGTGACCTACTGTAGGTGATCCTGCTCTGGCAGGTGGGTTGATCTTCGAGGTCCCTTCAAACACCTAACATTCTGTGATTCTGTGAAAAACTCTTGGTCTGTTCAGTAAAGATGAAATGTTTAGAAACCAATTCCGAGATGGTCTTTGCAGAGTCATACAAGCAGTGAAATGTGTAGACTAAAGGTTATTTGCCAATTCATTTTATATAATAAATAAGCTGCTGAGTAAAACATAAGGAAACATATGGCTTATAGTCTTGAACATTATAGTAATTTACTTGTGTTGCCTCAGTAAGAATTGCACTTGGAAAGGACTAAATACTATACTAGACTGTTTGGAGCAGGGAATTTACTCAGGTGCAGTATATTTTTCCATTTATAAATGGGTCCCAAAATTCAGAGAGTTTCTTACTTTCTTTAATATAAAGGTCTCAAATACTTAAGCAAGAGCTGAGAGTGACTGTTTTGCCAGTGGAATCATAGCCAAAAAGCTTTAGGTTATACACAGGAGGAAAGTAGTAAAAAAAATTTCTTTGAATTACTAACATTTCCTAGGAGTCAACCGTTGTTAGTCAGACCTTAGAGATACATGACAGTTCCCTGCCTGACTTCTGGTACTTTTTGTATGTACCATCCATTAAAGAGTGTTTTTTATGCTTTTAGGTCACTACATGTATGTGGACTCTGTTTACGTCAAACATTTTCAGGAAGTGGCCCAGCTAATCTCACCAAAGACCACCGCACCAATGTCTGGCTGCTTATCTTTTTATTATCAACTTAAGCAGGAGAGTAGCATTATTTTTACTGTTTACTTGAGAGACATGAATGGCTTTTATGACGAGATCTGGAAAACAGAAAGTGCGCTAAGCACAGACTGGGCACTAGCAGAAGTGGACTTCAATGCACCATACCCCATGGAGGTGAGCCACCATTCCTCTGCAGTCCAGCATCAGACATCAGTGCTGGCTCAGGCCAAGTTGGAAACACAGCAGCGTCTGCCCAGTATCTGAAAGATGGCTATAAAGATGTTGTTGATCTGTTGTTTCCTTTTGTCCACTGCCTGTGGGTCAAAGAGAAATCACTTTCAATACCGGTGCTTGATTTTCAGCAAAGATTAAGGCAGGTGGTGCCATACTTGAACATGCTACCTTGGGAGGTTGTAAAGTCCTACTAAAGCAATATCTTTCAGTTCCTACTAAAAAATGCCAGTCTTGTTCTGTCCCATATTTCTGTGACTTGATGATCGTTTTTTGAGGATGCTGAGTATCATAAAATAATGCATGTCCCCACTGAAGAAGAAAAACTTAGAAGTGTATTCAACTTCCATTTTCTGCCTTACACAATCCTGCAATTCAGTCTTTCTGTACTTTCAGGAGATAAAGTCCAAACCTGAGTCCTAATAGTATGACAGTCCTTAGATGTGAAAGCCAGTACTCTAAGGTTACTATAATTAATTTCAAGAATATAAGAGAGAAATTGTACTTTTTATTCCCTGGACAAAACTAACATTAGAGGCAGTGTAGGTCCATTGATGAATGACGTGAGTGCCCTGGTGACAGAGGATACAAAGAAGGCAGAGTTGCTGAATGCCTTCTTTGCCTCTGTCAATACTGTTGGAGACTGTCCTCAGGAGACTCAGTCCCCTGGGGCCGCAGAGGAAGTCAGGATAAGGGAGGAGTTTGCCCTGGTTGAGGAGGATTTGATTAGGAAACAATTAGGACACTGAACATCCATAAATCCATGGGCCCTGGTGAGATGCACCCCCGGGTGCTGAGGGAGCAGGTAGAAGGCATTGCTAGGCCTTCTTGGTACGTCATGGACAACGGGTGAGGTGCCTGAGGCCTGGAGAAAAGCAAACGTCACTCCAGTCTTCAAGAAGGGTGACCCGAGTAACTACAGACTGGTCAGCCTCACCTCCATCCCTGGAAAGGTGATGGAACAAGTTATCTTCGGTGCTGTCTCTAGGTCTATCAAAGATAAGAGAGTTGTTAAGAGCAGTCAACATGGTTTTGCCAAGGGGAAGTCATGTTTGACCGATGTGATAGCCTTTTATGAAGATGTAACCAAGTGGATGGATGATATCTCTGCAGTGGATGCAGTTTATCTTGATTTCAGTAAAGCATTTGACACTGTCTCCCACAGTATCCTCATAGGTAAACTGAGGCAGTGTGGTCTGGATGACCAAGTAGTAAGGTGGGTTGTAAACAGGTTCAAAGAAGGAAGTCGGAGAGTTGTGGTCAATGCAGCAAAGTCTAGCTGGAGGCCTGTATCTAGTGGAGTCCCTCAGGGGTCAGTACTGAGGCCAGTGCTGTTCAGTATATTCATCAACGACCTTGATGAAGGAATAGAGTGCACTGTCAGCAAGTTTGCTGGTGACACAAAACTGGGAGGAGTGGCTCACACACCAGAAGGCTGTGCTGCCATTCAGCAAGACCTAGATAGGCTAGAGGGCTGGGTGGGGAGAAATCTTATGAAACACAACAAGGGCAAGTGTAGTCTTGCACCTGGGAAAGGACACCCCCATGTCCAGCCATAGGTTGGAGACTGACCTGTTGGAGAGCAGTGTAGGGGAAAGGGACCTGAGGGTTCTGGTGGACAGCAGGACGTCCATGAGCCAGCAATGTGCCCTCCTGACCAAGAAGGCCAATGGCATCCTGGGGTGTATTAGAAGGGGTGTGGCTAGTAGGTCAGGAGAGGTCTTCCTCCCCTCTACTCTGCCCTGATGAGGCCACATCTGGGATATTGTGTCTGGTTCTGGGCCCCTCAGTTCAAGAGGGTCAGGGAACTGCTTGAGAGCGTCCAGCACAGAGCCACAAAGATGGTTAAGGGAGTGGAACATCTCCCTTATGAGGAAAGGCTGAAGGAGCTGGGTCTCTTTAGCTCGGAGAAGAAAAGACTGAGGGATGACCTCAGTAATGCTTATAAGTATGTAAAGGGTGAATGTCAGGAGGATGGAGCCAGGCTCTTCTCAGTGATGTCCAGTGACAGGACAAGGGGCAACAGATACAAGCTGAAACATAGGAGGTTCCACAGAAATATTAGGAAAAAACTTTTTTACTGTGAGGGCGACAGCGCACTGGCCCAGGGAGGTTGTGGAGTCTCCTTCTCTGGAGATATTCAGAACCCTCCTGGATGCGTTCCTGTGTGATCTACTGTAGGTGATCCTGCTTTAGCAGGGAGATTGGACTAGATGATCTCTTGAGGTCCCTTCCAATCGCTAACATTCTGTGATTCTGTGAGTTTACTAAAAAAGCCCCAAACCTTAAAAGCCTGGAATAAACATTGTATACACACATATATATGTATAATATATATATATATGCATACATATGCACATATATATGTAAATGTGTGTGTATGAGTACATATTTTGTATAAATACATACACAAACACACACATTCCATCTTTATATATATGTAAAGATATATGTTCTTATATCTAATACATATAAATACCTTAGAATCACAGAATCACAGAACTGCTGGAGTTGCAAGGGACTAGTAGAGATCATCTAGTCCAAACCCACTCCAAAAGCAGAATTGCCTAGAGCACATCGCACAGGACTGCATCCAGGCGCCTTCTGAATGTCTCCAAAGACAGAGACTGTATGACCTCTCTGGGCAGCCTGTTCCAGTGCTCTGTCACCCTCATGGTAAAGAAATACTTTCTCATATTTACATGAAACTTGCTGTGTTCCAGCTTGTGTCGATTGCCCTTTGTCCTACTGGAAGGAGCCTAGGTCTGTCCTCCCTGCACCCACCCTTTAGATATTTATAGACATTGATAAGATCTCCTCTCAGCTTTCTCTTCTCCAGGCTAAATAGCCCCAGCTCTCTCAACCTTTCCTCATAAGGGAGATGTTCCAGTCCCCCAATCACTTTGTTGCCCTCTGCAGGACTCTCTTTAGTAGTTCCCTGTCTTGAACTGGGGAGCCCAGAACTGGACACAGTATTCCAGATGCGGCTTCACCAATGCAGAATAGAGGGGGAGGGTGACTTCCCTTGACATACTGGCCACACCCTTCTTTATGTACCCCAGGATACCATTGGCCTTTCTGTCAATGAGGGCACATTGCTGCCTCATAGTTTACTTGCTGTCTACCACAACTCCAAGAGCCTTCTGCTCAGGGCTGCTTTCTAAACCTAACCTGTATTGGTTCCTAACCTATATTGGTGCATGGGGTTGTTCCTTCCCAGGTGCAGGACCTTACATTTGCCTTTGCTGAATCTCATTAGGTTCCTCTCTGCCCAGCACTCCAGCCTGTCCAGGTCACACTGTGGGGCAACACAGCCCCCTGGTGCGTCAGTCACACCTCTCAGTTTTGTATCATCAGTGAAGCTGCTGAGGATACACTCTGTCCCCTCATCTAGGTCATTGGTGAATACGTTAAATAAGATTGGACCCAGTACTGACCCTTGTGGAACACCACTGGTTACAGGCCTAAAATACTGAAATAAGCAGTGTATATATATTATAAATACACATGCATACTTATATGTATACAAAAATATATTTTATACATATATATGTAATTTATATATATATTATAGATAACATTAGGATTACAAATAAATTAGCTTTCATTCTACTTACTTTAACTCCACATAGATTGTCTATAAATTCACCTTAAACCTGCAGATTTGCAGAAATTATTAGAGGTAAAGCTAATTTTTATCAGGTATTACATGGTCTTTTTATACTCTGTAAACCATCCATTTGAATTTTCAGATTTGAAATGGTGTGGGAAAGGAGATTAGATCAAATCAGCGCTCATAATACTGAATGGTGAATTACTTCTTCAATAAATATAAAGTAATATCATAGACTCATAGAATGGTTTGGGTTGGAAGGGAACTTAAATATAATTTAGTCCAACCTCCTTGCCATGGGCAGGCATCTTCTGCTACATCAGGTTGCTCAAAGCCTCATCTACCCTGGCCTTGAACACTTCCAGGGATGAGACATCAACAGCTTCTCTGGGCAACCTGCTCTAGTGTTTCACCATCCTCATGGTAAAGAATTTCTTCCTAATATATAACCTATATCTTCTCTGCGCTAGTTTAAAACCATGGGCCCTTGTCCTATTGCTACATGGCCTTGTAAACAGTCCCTCCCCAACTTTCCTCTAGGTCTCCTTCAGGTACTGGACAGCCACTATAAGGTCTCCTCAGAACCTTCTCTTCTCCAGGCTGAACAAACTCTCTCAGCCTGTCTTTGTAGGAGAGGTGCTTCAGCGTCTTGATGATCTTCATGGTCCTCATCTGAATCTACTTCAACAGCTCCATGTCTTTCTTGTGCTGGGGGGGCCCCATTGCTGAACGCAGTACTTCAGGTGAGGTCTCGCAAGAGCAGAGGAGTGGAATCATGGAATCATAAAATGGTTAAGGTTGGGAGGGATCTTGAAGATTACTTGGTTCCAACTCCCCTACTGTTGGCAGGGACACCTCTCTCCCACTAGCCCAGGTTGTTCAAAGCTCCATCCAACCCGGCCTTGAACACCTCTAGGGATGGGGCATCCACACACTTATCTTGATGCAGCCCAGGATGCAATTCGCTTTCTGGGCTATGAGCACAGATCACTGTCTCACATTCCTTTTTGTATCTACCAACACCCCAAGTCCTTCTCTGCAGGGCTGCTCTCTATCCACTTATTGCCCAGCTTGTATGTGTGCTTATGTAAGGGGAAGAACAGTCTTAGTGCTATAGATGGAAACGAATTATTAATCATTTAGAGCTTGGCATTACTGTGATTAGTTTTGTGAAACTAAGTTCCTAGTGGCATTCATAAAACTGTCCATAATATTGGAAAATATCTATAATGGAGTAAACAACAAGGCAGAGGATGTCTTACCTCTAGATTAATGCAGAGGGTACCCTTGGATTCAGTAGAGCATGGATTTTCAACTGTCTGAGTTAAAAAAGTGTATCCTAGAACTACAAGAGGGATCTAGGGTTAATCAAAATTATGGAGAAGTTGTGTTAGTAAAATAATAGTTTTCAACCTGGAAAACTGAAGTAGAATATAGTAGATGTTCATAAACATAATGAATGACACAGTAAAGATTTGCTGGTCCTTTTTCTCGTGATTTACACTGCTGTTCCAAATTCTTAATAACTAGGTAACGGTTTTATAATAAACCAAAGGGAGGACTTTCTCCTACATCACATAACTATAGAACTCACTTCCACAGACTACTATGCATACCATTACTCTGATCATTTCAAAAACTGATAGACAAATAAATGGGAAAGAATCTGTCAGGAATGTAATGTGAGGGAAGAAGGACTGGAAGCTTGTCACTATCTTTAGTTCTTTCTGTAGGTGACCTGTGTTGGAAACAAGACACTGGGCTACATGGACTTTATTCTGCTCCAGGAATTTTTATGCAATCCAACACAGTCATTACTTTAGAGCTCACTTTATAGTAATAAGATTACACCTTACATATAACATATTCAGGTGCTTTAAGAGGGTCTTTCTCTTTTTTTTCATCTGGCTCTGGATCACTCAGGATTCCTTCACAGCTCTCCTAGTTTGGCTCTCATCCCTAAGCAAGACATCACAGGACATTTCACTGAAAAGGATCTCACTCTGGAAGCATTTTTTCATATATCCTTTTTTACCCCTGGGTTTGCTTTGTTATTCAGGCCTTTTCTCAAAGTTTTCCTGTAACTCAGAGCTTTGATCCTTAAGAGAAATTTTAAGACACTTCCTCAAGAGTTACAGGCTGACCTCCATTTACTTGAGGAAATTATGTCCCTTGGGAATGGCTAAGTATGAACATGGTTTAATTTTTGTGGTAAACTAATTTTTTTAAGGAAATCTTCCCTGCCATCAGGTTCCAAAGCATGAGTTTCAGGGTCTGAGGATGTTTAGAGAAAACATTAAAACATAGTATTGTAACAGAAGAGTAATCCACAGCTTGTTTTTAGCTCTTGATCTAGATAGTTTCTAAATACAGTAGTAATTAGGCATCTTTGGAGTTCTAGTCAGCACAGCCCCTGAATCCTGTCTTGTCATGACAGTATCCCCTTACTGCATCTTTAAAACTGATGCTTCATAAAGCAGCAGAAGAGCTATGTTCTCCTCGATTTTTCCTTAACCTTGAGTGGGCAAAAATCTCATACCAGGGTCAGGCTCTGATTTATATCCCTAGTGACATAATTTAATTTGTGCCAACACCTGCAGTGTTGTCTGAAATGCCCTGGAGTCTGTCTGCGACATCCGATCAGAACTCTGCAATATGAAGATATATACTAAAGTTACTGTTGTGTATATAGTAGATGACTAACAAATTATTATTATTTCTAGGTGATATTTGAAGTTGCTTTCAACAGTGCCAAGGGAGGTTATGTTGTCCTTGATGATATTTCTTTCTCTCCGGTTTACTGCAGCAATCAAACAGGTATGAGTTCTTACTGCTGTTTACTTTCCTTAGTTTTGCTGGTTTTTTTGCCTCTTTAAAGTCAGTACTTGCAATATTTCATAGTGATGTGCAGATGGTACCTTCTCAACTGATCAGCACTGTTGGGCTCTTCTTCTTCGTGGTGACAAAACAGCAGATAAACACTAATGTCATTTATTTGATCAAGAAATCAGTCCTTAATTTTTGCTCTCCAAAGACCTCACCTCAGGAGATCTGCAACTGGAATGAATGCTGCATTTGCATCACCCCATCTTTTGAACAAATCGCCAATTGCACACCTGTTGAGGAAAGAGACAGAGATTTCCCCAGGTGTGGTGATATGAGAAAGAAAATGTCCTGGGCTTTTCATTACTGCTGATGGAGGGAATATCTTCTTCCATGGCAGATTCCCTGAGGTGTTCTTCAGAGCCAAAACAGGAGACTTGCCTTTTTGTCTTCATTCTTCCAGGTGGTATTCTTAGAGTGGTACATCTCTGAGGTTTTTCACAGCACCAGAAGTCAGCTGAATCCATGTGACCTCTCCTGTAGAGGCACTTGGGATGAGGGACTTTGTCATTTGTGAATGCAGCCTCTTCAGCAGCCATGTACAGTTGCTTGGGTTTTACTGTAGCACTAGACAATAGTCAAAAGTAGATTAGCGGTTTCACACTGAGCCCATCCATTCTTTCAGTCACAAGTTTGAATTTTGGGCTAATGTTTTGAAGTGGTCAAAGAAAAAGAGATTTTTTTGTCTTTTTTCTCTGCTGGATTTACCTGCACTGCTGAAGGATCAATAGGAGATAGATTCAAGATATGTTATTAATCCATAACTTCTGGCTGAGTAAATCTAGTTCATAACTAGCTTTGCAATGCCCATTCCAGTTTTGCTTTGTTTTGCAACCTGAATTATGTTTGCAGCATGCCATGGATTAGAACTGTGTGTTCATCTGTGTTTTCCACTTCAATTTTCAGATGGCTTGTACGTGTTGAGGTATGGGATAAATTGTGTAGTATTTTTTGCCCAATCCAGATTTAGTCAGGCTATCACAGCCCAAGTTTAGATTTACTCTGAGCAGTAAATTTTATAGGTTGAGCTAGAGCTTTGTCTACTAACTCTGATTTTGGAGTTTTGTTGGCCTCTTTTTTTCTGTTTGAGAAATCAATGTCAATAATTTGCTTTATATTTTATTGAAAGCTGGTTAATCCTTCAGGCGTTTCTCCTATTTTCGTCATCAGGGTTTTTGAGTAGAGATGTTAAAGAGATCTTCATTCCCCTTATAGTCACCCCTAGTAGTGTATATAACAACATTAACTTTTTCTGTATTTTTCTGACAGTTTTGGTCAACAAAAGTCTCAATATTAGCAGATGGAGGGAAAACATACCAGAATATTAAACTTGCTCACCAAAGGATGAATGTGAAGATGGGTTTAATCCTGCATGGACCTGGTAGTGCTCCAACTGTATTTTCTTTAGCTAGGAAAGCAGCAGGTGGCCAGGACTGCCTCCTTTTTCTCTGTAGGCGGAGAAGGACACAAGGGCAGTGCTTAAATATGGCTTAGTTGAGGCTGAGAAGGCCACAGATGTCTCTCTAGGACCAAAATTTTGCTTCTCATGAAGCTGATTGCCTGTGTCCCTGCCCTGGCCAGGAAGTTCCTCTGACCCGCATGCAGAAGGGTTGCATGTGCAGTGCCACAGAATGATGCTCACAGGGTCCTGACATAGCAAAAAATTGCATGATAGTTTCGGTTTGTACCCCTCCTTCCCCCAGTATCTGGTATGAGTGACTTCAAAAACCTTTAAAGTAGAAATGTCTTACTTAAAACCACTTATTTAACAGGGAGATTTTTTCAGACTGAAGCAAATCATAGAATGGTTTGGGTTGGAAAGGACCTTTAAAGGTCACCTAGTTCAATCCTCTTGCAGTAGGCAGGGACATCTTTTAACTAGATCAGGTTGCTCAGAGTCCCATCCACCCTGGCCTTGAATGTCACTAAGTATAGAGCCTCCACCATGTCTCCAGGCAACCTGTTCCAGTGTTTCACTACCCTCATAGTAAAGAACTTCTCCCTAATGTCTAACCTAAATCTGCTCTGCTCTAGTTTAAAACCATGGCCCCTTGTCCTATTGCTACATGCCCTTGTAAACAATCCATCCCCAGCTTTCCTCTAGGCCCCCTTCAGGCCACTGTAAGGTCTCCTCAGAACCACAGAAACACAGTATACTTTGGCATCCTTGTACTTCAAATAGTTATGGTTTTTTATAGTGTGTTCTTCCTAACAGAATGAATGAATCTATCTTTCAGGAACTCCTTTCAATCCTGCCAAGGTAGCCTGCGATTTTGAGGAAGATCTGTGTAATTTTTACCAGGATCACAAAGATGGCCCAGGATGGAGCAGAGTGAAAGTGAAGCGTAATGTGTATAGAGCAGGAGATCACACTACTGGGTTTGGTAAATCAAAACTACTTTTCTCTAGAAGAGTTAAAATGTATATAAAAGTTCATAGAACCATAGAACAGTTTGAGTTGGAAAGGACCTCAAAGATCACCTAGTTCCAATCCCCCTCCCATGGGCCAGGACACCTCCCACTAGACCAGGTTGCTCAAAGACCCATCCAGTCCTGCCTTGAACACTTCCAGGGAGGTTAACCTCCAGGTTAAAGGTTAAACTGTTGTGTCATTGTTCACTCTGGTAAATAATGTCATCGACCCACTGGTTAGGTTTCCTCACTGCAACTTGCTGCATTAAAGATCAGTGTACACCACTCTGTTCTAGCTGGGTCTCTGCCTGTGCCTCCCCATGTGTAAAGGGGAAAGGTCACTTCTTAAATACTCCTGCCGCGACATAAATACTGATCTGGAGTAACTGAAGGGATGATTCCACAAAAACTAGAAGTAGCTTAATATATTGCTTTTAATATAGAGGAATGATAGGCTTTTAGCTCTTCCAGGCTTAGGTTAGTTAGCAATTTTAAGGGAAAACTGTCAAACCACATAGTGAAAGGCCTGCTAATAAATTCTGAAAGTCATACATCTCTTTGCGTTTAGTATTCACAGTTCTTAATCATATCGGCTAAAGTCTGACATCCTTATACTTGATGCAGGGAGTAATAGGCTTTTTGCCCCATCTTTCATTCTTTGGTCTTGCAGCAGTAAACTTGAAACAGCCACATATACAGTGAGGCCAGCAGGCCAGAGAATTTTTCAGTGTAAATTTGAAAAATGCTAATTTGTGGTAACTTAGCCATGTGCCAGTATAGCCTGAAGTAGCTCAGATGCTTTCAGAAAAATTCTCATTTCCTTCCAGAGTGTGATAATCTGTTTCTTGCTAGTAGAAATTGTATTTATAACCAAAGTCTGGTGCAGTAACAGAAGCTGCTTTGATAGCAGATCAGCTGTGCGACTTGCATATTAGAAATATTCAATACTTGCCATGTCTTGCAGGTTATTACTTGCTGGCGAACACAAAGTTTACATCACAGCCTGGCTACATTGGACGTCTGTACAGCCCAACACTGCCAGGAAACCTGGAGTTTTGTCTGCGTTTTTACTATGCCTTATATGGGTTTTTCCAAATGAGTGGCACTCTTGCTGTTTACATCTTTGAGGAGAATCACGTAGTACAAGAGAAAATCTGGTCCGTCTTGGACTCTCCAAAGGGAGTTTGGACTCAAGCTGAAATCTCTTTCAAAAAGCCTATGCCTTGCAAGGTAAGAGCTAGCTCTTTAAATCTGCTGAATTCTGGATGGAGATTCTTCTTGCCTTCTTCTCCTAGGGTTCTTTGTTATCTGGAGCTTAATCCTAAGTGAACTGTACCTGCAAAGTAAAATAGTTTCCCAGGCAAAACAGTAGGGAGCAGCTCCCATGGGAGCCTCAAAAAAGGGGCTTTGTTCTTGGAATGGGGCAGTGTTGCCCTAGTGTCCTCAACTGTAGTCATAGTATTTGTGGAGATTTCACCTGAGAAGCTCTAACGAGTCTTGGTTTCTCAGCAGACTCCACATTTACTCACTTTTGTTTGCTTCTTATGTGATTCACGTCACTGTACACAGTTACAGATTTTAATTCATCTAAAAAATCAGTACTGATTAAGTTCTGGTCAAAATGTTGAGCTAATCCTACTTTCCTTAACTCAACCACTGGTTTAAAACATGAAACCAGAAGTCAGTGTAATTCAGAGCAACGGACTTGAAGTATTTGCAATGTTTGGTTACAGAAGTCACTTTGTTACCTCAGCAAATTACTCAAAATAACATATTTTACACCAACTCCTGAGTTAAGTCATCAAGCTGCTGTTATTCCTCATCTCCACTCTTTTTTACAAAGACTGACTTCTACAAAAATTTGTGAAGGCACTACTCCTGTGGTTATCCTGATTTCTGTAATGAGTTTTCACTGTGAGTCATCTAAGGTAGACCAGATGGATCACTATCTGATGACACTGAGGTAAATCCAGCTTTTTCTCCAAGTGTGATAGTACTGTGAACGTATTGAATGAAAGCTTGTCTTGTAACTCAAGTACTTCTTGATTATCAACAAACATCTTAAACATTTTCCCCACTACAAAGTAATTTTTGAAATTGCAGTAGTTACTGAGTTTAATCTTTCTTGGAAAAATAAAAAAGTGGTTTTCTTCAGAGTAAATACACTGCAAAAGAAGAAAGCTCACCAGCCAAAATTGCCTAACTGTTAAAAGGGAAAAGTTCAGTCTTAATTGTTGGCTAGCTCTCAGGTATCTGATACCTTTAAAAAAATGGGATTTTTATTCTCTTTCAACTGACATAGGAAAAAATATATACTGTATGAGCAGTGATGACAGCTGAGCATGACTTTTAAGATGGTTTATAGCCTTGGAGGTGGAAGGTTTTTTTAGCATCTGACATTTACATGGAAAATATTTTCCAGTATGAAAATAAGAAGAACTATTTTTATGTTTTCCTAGAAATTATTGTATCTAAAACACTTGTGAAAAAACTTGCCGGGGATGGTAAGCTTTTTTTCATGAATTGCAGCTTTCATAGCTGTAGCTACCAGTCTGTCTGTAGGCAGTAATAGATGAGGACAGCAGCACAGAGGAGTATAAAGAAATCAAGGGAATATCATTACTGCCTCTGAGCCCAAAGTTCTGGAGGAGGGAAGAAACCCGGTGCTCTGCAGCAGAAGGATTTGTTGGCCTTTGGCAATTCTCAAAACCCTTCAATAGGTCCTTCAGGTGTGGTGATGGGAGAGCTTTCTTTCCCATGGAAACAAGTTGCAGAATGCTTCTGTTGAGGAGGCATTCCTCAAATATCACAAAAAGTAAGATTTACTGGGCTTGAGGGAACTCAGCATGTGTTCAGCACATCACAATTCAGACATTCCTTAGCCAAATAATTATGTATTTGTGCATGTGTGTGAAGTTTTACCTCAGCCTTGGTTTAACCCTATTCTCTCACACTTTCTTCTTGGACTGCAAGATTAAATTAGGTTTAGAACAGGCATTAAGCTGCAGTTTTCCATATGTAGTAGATGCTATTGGTTCATAATACATCATGCACAAGCTGTAATGTGCTGAACTTTGTATAATGGTTGTGTATGTTTATAAATCATCACTTTATAAAGTTTTCCTTATACAAATAGTACATGGAAGAAAATGGGTAAAGTTTTGAAGTATGTCAATATGGAAAAGTATGTCAAGATATGTTTATGGCTGAGAAGGTGGCATACAAAAGACAAATTATGTTGAAGTTTAATCATGTGTCTGGTTGCCATAACGCAAGGATGAAAACCTGATGTAGTTACAGGTTGTCTTGCTTAAATATTCACAAGCAGGCTTGAATGAAGTTGCATAGTGAATGCAATTCTGGCTTTTACTTGCAATCTCATGCCCAGTTCTTCAACCTTAATAATTTAAAAAGTCCTTTATGCCCAATTCTTCAACCTTAATAATTTAAAAAGTCCTTCATGCTTTATATTGTTTGTTTCTTCTTTTCCAAGTCAACAGAAGGAAATGCAGGAGAACTGGTATGGTATTGTATAAACACTTAGGTTAGTTATCTGTAAAGATATGTCTGCCTAGGACCTAGTGAAATAGCTGAGAAAGAACACTCATTTCAGTAGCTGTCTGCAATGTAGGCCAGTAGTGGAGATGCATCAGAGCACATTTTGCCTGACAGCAAGAAGAGTTGGGTACCAGCAAGTCAGAGGTTACACTTCAGGCTCTGGACAGAGAGACAGTATAGAGAAACAGGAAAGAAGCAAGCTACTGGAGTTTGGCCTCTCTTGCCCTTTTTCTCCAATGAGTTCTCACATCTCTTCCTTGCTGGTGCTTGTCTTATCTATCCTGCCCCATAGGCAGCAACATCCACCCCCAGCCCCTTTGTATTTGCCCTCTTAATTGTGGCTCCTCATTTCCCTATCATGTCCCATTCTATTTGCTCTGCTTGTCTCAGTTCTTACAAATTTTAGTTTTTCAAAAACTGATGACTTGACAGAAAGCATAGTTCTGGCCCAAAGATCAAACCCTGACATATTTCATGATCCTACTCCAAAGACTAGGAGTGCCCAAACTTTTTAAAAAATTATTATTATTATAATAGGGTCAAAATAAAATCCTTTTTCCTAGCCTTGTTCTTGGAAATGATGAAACTGTTTTGTCTTAAATCTTCCAAAACAAGCCTGAAGCAAGGACCCAGCATGGAAAGTATGAGCTGAAATCATTGCATCTTGGCAATGTTACAAGCAGGTGAAAAACAGTCTTTTAAAGGAGTGAAGTGGTCTCTAAGATAAGGCACAGATGTGATGACTACTGTGCCTTTCATATTGTTTTCTGGGTCACATTATGTCTAGACTTGGATGATAAGAAGCTGCAGGCATGCACAGAAGTTATTCGTTACTGGGTGTGACTTGAAGATTGGTTCAGCACCTGTGGAAATAGTAAACAGTCTCCTGCCTGTTCCTTAATGGTCAGTAAAGTCAGCAAAGGAGTCATTAATGCTGCTTTGGCCAGGGAGTCCTGAAGATTTGAATGATTCTGCAGCTAGAAAATAACTGTTTTAAAATTCCTGATTACCTATGTCCTTCCTCTTTCTTCTACTACGGACACTCCCAAGGCTTTGAAAACAATACAAAATTCATCTGATACTTTTTAATTGTGACATTTGTTTGCATCAGAACAATAAAAAGGCTCTGATTTTCATCTCCTGGTTTGTGTAGTCGGTTTTGCAAGTTCTTTTTTAATTAGCTAACTGCAGTCTGGCACAGACTGTTGGATTGAGTTCTGTGCACAGGAAATGTGGAGCTGGCCAAGAAGCTTTCACACTACCACACCAGAAAGGTTGGGTGGTATGATCCAGCTGAGCAAGTTGAAAATGTTTATTCATATATATATATATGTATATATCTATGCATGCTGCAAATATATACGCTATAGCATATATATAGCCCTACCAAGAAAGCAGGAAATGTAAAATCTTGATTTCTCAATTTGCTGTTGAGGCAATCTCTCTTGTAGTTAATGTATGTATCTATGATCCTATGGACATACAGTCTTGTTTTTATACTCTGTATTGTCCAGGCAATAAATGTGGAAATGAATAAATAAATAAAAATATCCTAACATATATTCAAATAAGTGAAAAACCCTTATGCCTCTTAAAGGGCAGCATAAAAAACTGGGTCTGAAATAGGTAGATTGTTTTGATCTGATTGAATGTACTGAAAGTGATCCTTTGGGCCAATACATGGCAGGGAAAAGTCAGAGTTAACTGTAAGAAAAGTTCACATATGTCATAAGTAACCTTGAGATGCTTACACGCACCGTGCAGTGAGAATCTGTGTTTTAATATTGTGTGTGTGTGTGTGTTTGTGTGTATATTCTACCATGAAAAGATATTTCTTTTATTTAACTTCACAACAAAGTCTAAATGCCTAGATTAAAATGAAGGTTTGAGTGCAATTCAGTCTACTTACATCGGTTCTGCTGAACTGCTAGATCAGTTCTGCTAGATTTCATTCATCATTCTGAAGCTTGGGTTTTTTAAAGCAAACATCTCATGCTGTTTATCCATTCATGCAAGTTTTTGCCATGTTACCTAGCACTGTAGTGCTTGAATACTTCCCACAGAGTTCAAAACCAAATTCCCAGAAAGGTAGCTGGCATCATAACAGCCCAACCTACTTCCATTAGAGTAGTTGTGGCAGCATTTCTTGGGTTTTCATTCTTTCGGTTTACTCTTCTTTCTCTCTGATGTTTTTTTTTTCCTCTTTCCTCAAGTTCATCTGTTTGTTTTCACCCATCCTCCATTACTGATTTTACCTGCAGTCGTGAGAAAGCAAAATCAAGTGACTGAGTGTTTCACTTCAATATTTAAATACTTCTAAAAAAAAAAAAAAGGACTTTTTTGGTAATGACTAAACACTGAAATCCTTTGCTGCAGGATACTGTTGAGGCCAATAGTATACATGCATTTTAAAAAGGATTAGGCAAATTCATGGAAAATAGACTTCACAGTGACAGTAAACACAGTGATACAGTTGTGATCTACAATTCAGCAAGTTCTTCAGCTCTTTGGAGGCTGAACATAATATAAATGGTACAACTAGATTTATAGTTAATAGTTTCTAGTACTGTTTTCCCTAAACATCAGTTAGCACCCCTCCACCTTCTCAGGGCTTGATATTAAGGTCTTTGGCCCTTTGTTCTCACATCATCACTGTGATGATGCTCAATACT